CTTCATGTTTGGTGTATTGGAGTTTTTAATTAGTTTAATTTTTCAATTTATCAAATAACATGTGGAAATTCCATTTCCTTTCCTTATTCTCTTCAACAATAGTAGCAAAAATTCATGTAGCAGTGAGTAGTGAACGCACTAAGTAAAAAAAACTTGAATAAAAACTATATAGCATGTCACATTCTAAGGATTTATCATTAATAATGGTAGTCCTTGCAGGGAGTTTTCTAATTAACGATATATATTGTGGATTGAGATTGAGACAGCAAGAAGATCCATTATAGTAGCAAAGGGTTTGAATATAGTTATATCATCGGCAAATGTTTTGAAGGCTTTTTAAAGAAGTACTGGTGGGGAATGGGAAATTATCAATTTCTCACCTATAATTTGTTGATAATACATTACTAATATGAGAAGCAATACAGGAGGATGTGTAGAGTGCATAAGAAACAGAACATTTTCTCTAAATATATAGAAAATTAATTAATGATCATAATTTAGGCAAACTGAAAATTTTATACTATCTAGTAGATTAGAGCGAGACTACTGGAGAATCAACACAATTAATGTACTTTTATGACATACTTCAAATAGTATAACTGAAACGAAAAATAATTAACCAAACCAATTATACTTACCAGCTGAGCTAGGAGGAAGAAAGTTTGGCCTTAGCTCTCAACTTAAAGAGAGGGTTGAATGGATTTTCTCAACAATCAACGATATAACACACAAATCTTAGAGTCGATTATGCATCAAGTGATGAAATTTAAATATTTTAATAAAAAATAAAATAATATATTTTATAAATTAAATTTATTATCTCATTAGAAACTTGGATCAAACTAATCATTATAAGTTAATTATTTTATTTAAAAACACATTATTTCATAATAACTACTCAATTTATTCTTATTATTACCCTACAAATAAACGTTAATTTGATCATGAGTCTTATAAATTTGGCATTTCATTTTGCTAAAAAAGCAAAAGTTTCCCCACATTCTCTTATTTTTCTTATATTACTTTATTTTTTAAATATTTTTGGATAAAAAAAGATATTTTGAGTTAAGTAACTCTATAAATAGTGCAGTTTCATAGAATATTATTATGAAACTATAGTATTCTAGAGGTAATATGTTATATATATATCTACTGCAATGATTGATTTACTCTTTATAAAAGCATAAATTACTTTAAAATAAGTAAAATTT